ACCAACACTCCAAATACTCACAAGACAAAGTACTGGGGGAAAGAAGAGCAGAGATAAAAGTGTCACAAGACAAAGTACTGGGGGAAAGAAGGGCAGAGATAAAAGTCTATTTTTTTATCATCAGATCATAGATTGTTAGAGTGGAAAGTGTCACAGTGGGTCGTCTTGTTTTGACCCATCATTGGGGCCATATTAATTCAGGACTCGGGCCAATCATTTTTGGCTAATGGCGGTTACTCCATAAAGTGATGTAATGTCAGTGACAGTGAGGCACCAATTACAGGAGTACTGTCAGTACACTGAGAGGGAGTAACTCTGGCACTGACGGACGTTGGCAGCAGCCAGGGACACTATTTAGTTTTCATTTTCTTCCCCGTGTCTAATGGACAGGGAGTGGTCCAGTAAGTCACATGTCACATCTGCTGGACTTATTTGACCTGTGATACTTTTCACTCTGTTTAAATGTTTCAACTTGTCTGTTATCCACGACTCGAGATTTTTTTTTCCCCTCCTTTTTCAAACTCTGCTGTTTTAACCACTAGCTTTAGCTCCTTTCGCTGCTAAACTACAGTTTATTTTATTCTGGCTACGTTTGACATTTCACTAATGAGCTCAAATCAGCTGTTATTCAATTTAAAAAATAATAATTTGGGTAATACGGGTAGCTAAAGGTCATCTAGCACTTAAATATATAGATATAAATTCAACTAAAATAGACAAACGAAAGAAATGGATAAATAAGATTAAATCTCTACCATTATTATAGCTAGAAAATATATTTACTGAGCTAAATTGCATAAAGTTTGCATGTTTTGCTTAAAGCTAAAAGTGGTTTCATTGTTGATTCACTGAGAAAAGAGGTAAAAGTTAAAAAAAGGTTATTTTTTTTAAAAAGAAACAAAGATAAGAGAGGCACTGCCCCTAGAGGTTTTTAATGAGTTCATCATGTAAAAAAAAAAAACCCACTCAGGGCTGAGGTTAACTTCTGTGTCCCACATTGATGACTGATTGGTTGACAGTGTTCCCACTAGATTATTTTAATTGTTTTTTTCTGTCCATTTGCGGCTGCTCCTCAGACACGTCCTGATCACAGTTGCCCTGAACAGATGAACAGCTGACGACCTGCTGCACTAGAATAGAAATGTGGCAAACGGAGAGGAGATCAGAATCCCCCCCCAGGGGGATTGTGGGTGGCTGCTGTTAAAAGGGTCGGCATATTAAAAGGGAAACACACTGTGCATACGTTCAACTTGGACAAATCCACTTAGTTCGTGTCCACTCCTGGGACACTGATTAAAACCTAACTGCTGGCAGCCCAGCTACAGCGCTGATGTCCCCGGTGGCCAAGGTCCGGAACAGCAGAGCGCGGACTGGTAGATGTTTGACTGTGCTGTGTGGGGACAAATCACCAGTTTGTTGATGCAATGAGGACGGTCTTATATAATGTGTGCCAGCGGACTGACACAGTACACCTGTTCACCTGTCACTGGATCTCCCCCGGGAACCAGATGTTTGGTTTCGCTGAGCTGTTCATTTATTAATGGCTTGGTGTTGTGTGTGTGTGTGTGTGTTTCTCTGCAGGACCTGTCCACTCTGCAGTGTGATGTGTGTATCCTGGTCTTCTCCGTGACTGACAGGCGAAGTTTCCATCGCACCGCTCAGCTCCGCCTCCTCCTCAGGGAGTCGCAGCCACACACACCAATCATCCTGGTGGGCAACAAGAGCGACCTGGTTCGCTCCCGTGAAATCAGCTCAGAGGGTACGTACAAACTGGCATCACGGTCGATGATTTAAAAAAAACAAAAATTGTCCAAATTCACTAGAATCCTTTTCTGATGAATGAAACTCAGCATCAGTGACAGGAACCGATCGTTTTTTTTCCTTCTCCTGTGAGTGTCTTCGAAGATCTTGAAACAAAGACAGCAATTAGATTCCTCCTGGTTTTCCTCAGCGGCCAGTTGTAGTCGTGCAATTAAAAAGTCTCAGCAGTTTTATAGTTTATAAGACACAGTTGTCCACAAACGGCGTTAATTTAAAATCCTAGCAGGTTGGTTTGTAATTAAAGGTTTCAGTGTGAGGTTATCGTCATGAAAATTCACAGCAGACACAGGGACATTATATTCCACTCCACGTTTCATGTGTTTTACTGCAGTATTTGTCCCTCCTGAGGGACAAATACTGCAGTTTTTTTCCTTTTTCTCACGGATCACAGATTTATTAGTGTGAGTTTTTGTCCGTCGTCGGAGCCACGTTAGAAAACTAATGATCAAGACTGGAACTGTGGAAATGATACCACACAGACAAGTTGTATTCACGCAGACCTGAGGTCGATCTGAAACATCATCAAACATCTGCTTTAACGCCGGAGCAACAGTGCGAACAGCAAAGGTCACGGCACGCTGCTCACACGCAGGACTGAGGCGAACATTTACACTCCCGTCTCATTTTGACTGATGTCGACATCAAATGTTTCAGTGAGGATTTATGGCACTGAAGTTGCCACCCTTCAATAAGTACACAGAGCTCCACCCCAGGGCAGCAGTGACAGCTCAACAGACCAAGTAACAATATGTCAGAGCAGAGCAGGGGCTGTGGAAGTGGTTCTGCTCAGAGAAGAGGTGATGAAGAAGGAGCAGGAGGGTGACAGCAGCAGCTGCAGCATCAGCAGGTTGACTGATATAAGTGATAAGAAAAACAAAAGGAAGATTTGAAAAATGCGCTGTCCTTTTCCTTTGGTGCTGATGCTTCCTCTAACTGTGCAAAGTGAACAATTCCGCTGGAAATCTGTGCCTTTATTCTCCATTATTGGGGGGAAAAAAACAGCTGCTGCCGTACGTGCTGCACATGTAAAAACCTAGTGAAAACACTGATTCTTCAGGAGAACAACAATAACCTGATATATTTAAACCCAGCTAGCCACTCTGTTTTCTCACGTCCTTCCTCCTGTCTATGATACTGTCTATAGATAGTGTTCTGGATTTTCACCGTGTCCAATAAATGGCCCCTAGGGGGACATATCCAAATCACTAAAATCAATTCCTAGGCTGTTTACAACCATCAGAGCCAACTGCTGTGCTGCTCCTCGAACACCTCATTCTAGGCATGTCCACGTCCATGTAAAAAAAAAAAAAGAATTAAAACAATAAAATATAAAACTAATCATTCAAATGCATTGTAATTAATTAGTTTCAATTTATAGTATATTTAAAACGATGCATTTTCAATTCAAATTCATTTTGAATCAATATATTTACATGTAACTAACATTAAAAATGTTTCCATTAGTCAGATTTAAAGGGCAATTTCTATAACAGCCCCATGTTTTACTGCTTAAATCATAACACAGCTGACCTCTGTCCCTGTTTCCACCGTGTAAAAAAACAGCTCAAATCTGTGGTTTTCACTGTGTTTCAGCGGAGCAGTTCTGCACCGTGACTCTCGTTCGTCATTGATGTCAACTTTATATCGTATTTCCAAATAAATGTCAGCCTGGACCGCAGACCTTCAGCAGCGATTTAACCAAACACAGTCGTACATCAGGATTTTTACATCGGGAACATTTGAAGTTGCTCTAGTAAATACCGACTGGGTCAATAAGTAATGCAGTCAATTATTCTGCAGACTAATTAAGTATGCGTGCATGACAGTTAGATTTTGCATTTGTCGCTCTTGGTTAATTTCACTCTTGATCTTCTTCCCAGGAACCCGTTTGACTGCAGTAGACGTGGTGTTCAGGAGTCACACATTGGTATTCAACACCCAAACTAAACTTCTGCCAAACAACTTAACAGAAGTTGATGCTGACACACACTTAGAGGCACACGCACACACACACGGGAGACCATGCTAAACTGAATCTATTTAGCGAGGCGTTAAAATCTGTAGATCAAGGATCAGACTTCAGGCAGTTTCACTGCATGTTTTTTAGTGAAATGTAACAGAAACATCCACAGACTGTTAACCTGCAGCCCAGTCCCAGAGTCGTTAAATACCATAAATCACAACTTTTCAATGAAAGGTACTCAACCTCCGGGTGTCAGGCCAACGCCGGGCCATTTGTCATTTCATAAAGGGCCAAATTGATCTAATTGGCATTTGTTTTTTTGTTTGAGTGTGGAAAAATGTTAATTCAAAACTCATTACTGTCAAACCCTCTCTTATTAATGTGTGGCTGAAAGTCTTGACTCGGTGAGATCAATCTGAACCTGAACTAAAACGACCTGGAAATACAGTTTGTTTAGTTTCCACTGGCCCCAAATGATGTAACCGTACTGCATCACTGTCTCGTTGTCCGCTACACATCCATACAGTTCAAGCGAGGCTAATTTGTGCTAGTGCACAGTGTACATGATTGGACATCATTTCAATATTAGAAGCGAATTAAAAAGGACGTCTGTTTGCGTAAAGTCGTTTCACTTTTAATATCTCATTACCTTAGGCACCAAACTAGGAGCTTAATCGTGCGAAGGAATGGCAACATCCATTTAAAATATACAGTCTATGATCAAATTAAATCAATTTTTCCTTTTACTTTTCCTGGGGTTTATAACGACATTGAAGAGCAACATATTCATTCTGGGGTTTTATAAACTTTTATTCAAATGACAGTGTTCTGCCATGGCGGAGTTTCTGTTTACTTTGCGGTTGTCACACATCATTAGCGTTGGTCCGACACAGGGACGCGCGGCTCGACGTTATCTTGTCCTGTCTTATCTTATCCTCCGGAGGTTTTCCCTCCATCACTCTGATGTCCCCCAGCTGCTGCTCTCCTCTCAGTTATCTCCCTCTCACAGCATTTTGCTCTTAGTATAATCACGTACGTTTGTACTCCTGCGTGCACACGTACGTGCGCGTAGATCGACGCCGTAAAAGGACTGTGCATGTGATCGGACGGGGGCAAGGGCAAATGTTGGAGGGCGGTGTGTTTTTTGACTGGTGGCTTCAGTTTGGAGGCGTGTGAGTTTCTTTAAAGTTGTCATCAAGGTGTCGCTAACATCAGTTCAAAGAAACCAGTGCCATACTTTTTTATTTCATATAAAATAATTGTTAAAACCAGAGGCGATTGTCAAACTTTGCCTTTTCATAAAATGTGAATTGACTGCAGGTTCATGTGACCTGGATGGATGGATGGATGGATGGATTGATTGATGGATTTTATGTGTTGTAGTGACTTTAACTCTCTCTACAACACTCGTCATCGTCCACTGTGTATAAAGTCACCGCGTTTAAAAATAACAGCTTCGTGCAGGGAATTCATGCAGGGAAAGGAGAGATGAAAAAGTCCAAATGTGACCTCATTTTTTTTCCATCTGTCCATTCATCCATCTCTACAAACGTCCACGCAGTTATCCATCATCTGCACCACTTAACCTTTGAAGGTTACTGGGTTGCAGCAGCCAATCCCAGCTGACATTGAGTGAGATGCTGAGTTCATCCAGACTAGGTCACAGGGCAAACATCAGGAGACGCGATACAACAACCAATCAGCTCCAGCCCACAGTGACGAAATCAGTCAATCAGTCAGTCACTGTTAGGGGAACATTTATTTGTGTTTTTACCCCGGGAGGTTTTGATGCTGACATTATATATTTAGATTGTATTTGATAAACCTGAGTGATTATTGTACTGCGATGACATTTAAAAATATATATTATTTTCTACCATTTATTTGATCTAGTTTCATCATTGACCACATAAACCTGTCAGAGGGACAAATTTGGCCCCCGAGCCTGACGTTGGATATGTCTTGTATGTTTAATGCCACTGAGACTCGACCTCAATCTGACTGTGTCATGTCAAAGATTAAAGATTATGATCAAATTTACAACAGGATTAAAAGACGCATTTATAATCATTTAAGAGTCAAGGTTAACGTTTGACATGGATTATGGATTAACCTCAGTGTTGACAGATCTGGATTAGGGACTAAGGACACGGGACTAGAACTCTGTGTTGTATTTGATTTGCTCGGTTGTGCAGTTTAAACAAAAGCAGAAAAGTTTAAATTTGTTTCGATTGTCAGCCAATCACTGAGCGGACTAAGGATTGAGTTGCTCAGCAGTTTGTTTTTGTTTTTTTGGTCAGACCTGGGAAATATCCCGTCCTTGTCGTCGTGCAAAGACAGATGTTCTTGTGTTCTGTGCAGAACGAGCACACACGATATGTGAGTTGATACCGGAGGTCTGACTGACCAGCTCTGCTAATGCTATCGTCCTTAAAGGAGCAGAGAGATCTGGGGCTGGAGTCATAAAGTCTATTTATGTTCTGTGCTCTGACACTTTTATTCTGCTATTTCTCACCTTCCCCTCCCTTTGCTACATCTCTTTCTCCCTCATTAACACACACACACACTGATACTCTCACTGTCACACCAAGAACATATTTATCATCAAGTTAATTCAGCGGTGGTGTGGCGGCGGCGGCGACGCTGCTAGCATGGCTCGGCTCTGTGATTAATATGGGCTCTGGCTCCGTTTGCTTAGTCGACATAATTCCTGTCCATCTGTGTGTGTCTCCTCTCTCTGTCTGAGCGTCTCCTCTCCTCTTCGTTATGACTCCCCTCTCCCATCCAGCTTGTTCATTTCATATTCCACCTTCCCTGCCATCCTCTGTCAGCATCCTCCTCTTCTCACAGCATGACTCACTTTCTGCCTGTTCAGCTGAGTGCCATTCACACCCAACTGTGTCTTCGATTTCATATAACTTGACTTTTTTTTAGTCAATTTTTTGGTGCTTCTCTGAGACGGGAATAAGTCGCAGTCCAAGTAGAAATGTTCCTAAATATTTTTTTAAAATATCTGAAAACTGTCCTTAAAAATTACAAGACGGAAGCAACAGAGTAAACTTTTTCAAATCAGGCAATTTGGGGGATTTAGTTAGCTAAAAAGAATTAGCTAAAAAAGCACAGTTGTTCCAATGCCATTTTTAGAAACCATTACAATAAAAAGTGTATTTGTTCTAAAGCTACAATCTGAATTCTTGCTGGAAATCCACTCGACTTCTTTTGAGGCTGAGACAGTTTCAGTTTTGTTTCTCTGCGACTTACACTGCTCGATGCTTTGAACGCTCCCTGCTGGACATCCTCTGAGCTACATCTACATTTATGTGCCATAAATAGAGACAGAACTTTTATGGACTTCTTCTGAAGCTGTCAGTTACTGAACTCTCTCCTCGATGGACTTCTTCTTACAATGCTAGAAACTAAAGAAAGTTCTTGAAGGACTTCAAAGCCGCACTCCATCACCAGACTTAAGATCACATTAAACTGAAACTAATTAAACTAAAGTACTGTGCAAAAACTACAATCCTTCAATTATTCCATTCAAATATTTCTGAGAAACTGCAAACAGTACACCTTGTGTACTGTATATGTAGTAATATGTCACCTCTTTGCAGTAAGCCTCGTCTGACCCTCATCACCTTTCTTGTATTTTTCCATGTTTAATGTGTTTATTATAATTTCATTTCAGGTGTTTTCCAGAACACCGTTCAATCCTCGATCCCATTTTTAGGTTCTGGTTTATTTCTTCTCCACTCTTCACCTCTGACCTTTTTTGGTGCTTCTCGACAATTCAATTTCCCAAACGCTCTTTAGCAGTTATGAAGACCTGATTCGATTGGTTCAGCCGCCACAGGCATTAGGATAAGCTGCGTTGATCTGTGTCTTTTTGCCTCCCCCTCTTTCCTCCCCCACTGAGGGGTAACACCAGCGCTTGTCGACAGCTGCTCTGCCGGCAGATCAATCTGTTGTACCTGAGTTGCATCAATGCTTGGACTGAATGTTTGTACTGCAAACATTTTCTGTAGGACATTCCACCCAGAGAAATACAGACACAGTACTGCAGTAGGTCGTGGTCCGAGCTGAGTATTGCCAACAATGTCCAGAAATCTTCTTCTCTCCAGTTTGTTTGCGATCTAGAACATCAATACCGGTGTTGAACCTCTCGCTGAACTCCCATTGATCTGATTGGTGACGTCTCTTTCTGTCTGTCTCTAATCCCTTCACCTGTGAACAGCTGGGGATGAAATTCTCCTTAAGTCTCCTGAAATACCTGAACGACTTCACGCCCGAGCCACCTGATACGGCTCCTTTCTTCTCACCTTATCTCTGAGGGAGAGTCTTTTCACCTGCTTATGTCCGTGATCCCAGTCTTTCAGTCTCCTGACCGGAGGTGACAGTCGTTCCACCGCTTAATCCAGGTTCAACATTTGTTCTTGGAATGCTGCGGAATAAATGTTTCAGAAATAAATATGACTTCGCCACAGGTGCTTTCTTCATGAGACATTTTTTGACAGATGTAACTAACGCAGTACTGACAGTGCGATGTGTAGTCCAGAAAAATAACCTGGAGAAAAATGAACTGAACCAGAATAAATGTTTGACGGTTAATAAAAATGGAATCTAGTTTCCTCAGGGTTTCTGTCACGTTTCATTTAAAAAATTAAATTTTGGAACACCTGCTTCAGTCTTAACTGTGAGCAGACAGTGTTACTTTTTATTAGTAGCTTTTCTGGGCTTTGACTTCTGAACCAATTCACTGGGGGGAAAAAAAGAATGTTTTTCAGTCATCAGTTCCATTTCACACTATTCTGAGTTGTTATGAATACCACTGATGGCGTTTCTTTGTGCACACAGCTGCTCACAGCCGCTCCGCAGTCTCTGAGCAACAACCTTTATCAGTGCTGTGTTAATAATAAAAAACACTATTTGCCACTGATTGATGTGTATCTGTCACTTTTCCTTATCGCAGCGCCGTGTTTGACCAGGGACAATCAGGAGCTTTTAGCTCAGATACTGAGCCTTTTCAGCAAACACGTTCAGCCGCGGACTCTTATCCTGCAGAGTCACATTCAGGAGGAAGAAGCTGTTTTTACACCAGGGCTGCAGCTCCGAGATTTGGGCCGATACAACTGGTCATTGTTGGTTTTAAACCCCACACTGACAGCAAATGTTTGTTCTGGTCTCTTTGGAAGTATTTATTTCGCTCTGTTTTTTTGTTATTTCTGCTGCTTCTGCTGCTCAGTCAGTCGTCAGTTTCCACCTGTGTTCCTCCACAGATGAGGACGATCAGAGTCTCGGAGGTTTTGTAAGTGCCACAGTTTCTCTGCTCAGTTGGGTTTGGGGCAACTGAGCGTGAACAGCATCAGCTGTGGCTCTGGGAGAGGTTTTTTTTTTTTAGGTTTTTATTTTGAGCAAAGTGTGCCTTGGTTTCACTTTTTTGTCAAAGATTCTGTTTACTCGGTTCTCCAACATTTACTCCTACTTAGTGCTTAACAGACGTAGGTGTTTGTAAATAAGCCTGTCAAATTATTACTGGTTAGATTTCCTTCAGAGAAATGATCGGCCTCGATGTGAACATGTTTACTGCACTAACGGTGTTTCATCAGTGGATTAAAAACCGATGGAGAGATAGAAAGAAAACTGGAGGGAAATCCATTCCGACAGAAAGACACAAATTCTTAGAGATTGTTCATCACGTTGGCGTCACAGTGACAGTGACACCGGCTTTAGTCAGTTTGTTGGAGGGACGTATCGGTGACGGTGCTGGGATCAGTCAGGATGACACAACAACAACAGATCATGTTACAGTTACAGATCCTGCTGCTCAGGGAAGATGAGTCGACTGGAAACAAAGTTTAAGCTCAAAGTTAAAGCAGCTCAATAAAAACAGGACAACAAACAGGCAGTTGTTGACAAACGCTCAAAGTCGAAAACCTCCGCAGACAGAGTCATGTTTATTTTCACTCCAGTGAAGACAGTGTTGGAACCACGGACCTAGAATATTTGTCCTGCTCTGTCGTTGCCAACTGATCAAACCACCAATCTACTTCCTCTCTCCCCAGAGGCCCAGTCCAGCGCCATGATGTTCGATTGCTTCTACCTGGAGCTCTCAGCCTCCCTGGAACACGGCACCACTGAGCTGATGGAGGCGGCCGTCCGCACAGCACGGGGCGATTGCGTCGGCCCCGGCTGGACCGATGGCGATCCGGGGATGGGGCGCAGGGAGAGCCTGACCAGTCGGGCCAAACGCTTCCTGGCAGGGCTGGTCCCTCGTTCGTACTGTCGGGACCGTGACCGGGGACGTTACAGAGAGATGGGCCGCCACCGTGGCAGCAAGATCTTCCGTCAAAAGTCGCGCTCTTGCCACGACCTCAGTGCACTGTGACACACTCGCAGACAGGCCAGGAAACACAAAGCAAACACACTTCCACAGACGAACACACAAAGTGAATGGAATACGGTGAATTACATGGGGGGAAAATAAAAGGCAAATAAAGAGACACGATAGTGGAGAGAAACGTTGTAGAAAAAGACATCATTTTAAAATGATGGCAGATGAAAGTGGGAGGGAAAACGACAACAACAAACCTAATATTCTCCCAGGAAATGGAAACAAAAAGCGTCTTTTGAGAGGAATGGATGAAATGGGATAAAGAATGGGAGGGAGGACGGAGTCCACAAAAGTCACACACACTCACACACCCACGTAGCACACACTGATTACATAGAGACTGATAGCAATCTGATGATAACTTGTCGTAAATCCTGTTTATAGCATGCCGAGTAGAGGATCTAGGAGATGACCCTGTAGGTTGTACAATTACATGACACTGGATTTACTGTACCTCAGTGGCCAAT